CGGGGTCGCGCAGGGCTTCTCCGGCGAGGCGCAGGGGAGCGAGGGGGCTGCTGCTGCCTGCTCGGTGGAGCTGGGCTGCCCCGTGTACCCTCGGGGTAGCGATTAGAGCCCGATGTGCAGAAGAGCCCAATAAATCACCCCGAGTCACACGGCAGCTGGGGGGGGCTTTGCAATAGCCTGGCTTTGATGTGCTTGTACCTTGCAAATAAGGATTTTATTTTCCAGTTCGTTAAATCTAGCGTGCCAGCCCCAGCCGGAAGCGTGTGGTGGCCTTTGCCGTGCACGGTCGCTGAAGTGGTTTTAATCGTTTATCATTCCGGGACCAGGATGGCCAGACAAGAAGGGCAGCTGCTGATCAATTTGAAAACGCTCTATCCCGATGTGGTGGTAGATATTGGGAAAATAAAGTTAGGAGAGAGATCGAGGAAGAAGACCTCTTGTAATGAGAAAAGGCAACGAAGGCTGCTTTCAATGGCAGCGTGTGCGTTGCTGAATTCAGGTGGAGGAATAGTGAGGATGGAGAGTGCAGACGAGGACTACTGCTTTCAGGAGCACGGCATTGGTCTGGACATAGAGCAGAGCCTCCGGATGTGCATCGACTGCACCGAGACCATCGAATACTTCACGTGGATGCAGCAGCAGGGTCACTTGCTGCTTTTTGTTAAAACATGGAGCTGTGGAGGTCCAGAGTACAAAAGCACATCCACAAAGCCGCGGATCTGTAGCTTAAGCACTGGTTTGTCCCGTAGGTCTTTCACTTCTGTTGTCCCGATGACGTCAAGCGACGCTGCTAGATTTCTGAGGAGGAAAGAAAGCGGTGCCAAGTGCCGTGATGAGAATGGGCCAAGTGCTACAAAAGCTCCGCCGATTTTTGATGGGGAGGCAAAGGAGACCCCTCTCAACACCGAGGAGCGCAACATCCAAGATGCTGCTGCCAGGTTTTTAAAGAGAGACAAACTGATGGTTGGGGAGGTCCTGGATTTCACAGAGACAACGCATATTGAATTTAAGAAGTTCTCTACAGAGAGTATCTTGCAATACATTAGGAAAACTCTTCCAAATTATGCCTCTGCCTTTGCAAACACTCAGGGTGGTTATTTATTTTTTGGAGTGGATAACACCAGTAAAGTCATTGGAAGCCATAGTAAAGTGGAGAAAGAAGATATAGAAAAAACAGTAGCTGCTACCTTGGGCTCGATGTATTTCCATCACTTCTGCGGCTCTGAGGCTGGCGTTCAGTTTAAGACTTACGTCCTGAGTGTTTATGACGAGGAGGAACGCTTGCAGGGCTATGTATGCGTTGTGCGAGTTGAAGCGTTTTGCTGCGCTGTTTTCCATGATACCCCTGAATCCTGGATTGTGAAGGGTGAAGTGATCGAAAGGCTGAGCATCAGGAAATGGACGGAGCTCATGACAGCTGCAGACCCGGGTAAAATACGCATTTACATTACTGTCCATTTCTGCCTTGGTTTGTAAGCTTTCAGGAGGAGAGACTAACTTCTTTTGTGCTGTGTTCTTACCAACCTGGAGAAGGGGCTCTGGCCCATGGCACGGTCACGGGCACCGGGGGTGATGGTATGGTAACCAGCCTCCAACAGCAAACCGTTCTCTGAAGCGCTACTCTCTAAAGTAGTTCTGCAGGACTTTTTGCAGCAGCCTCCCAACTGGAACAGCCTTCCTAGGGATCCCATATGCCCCTAAATGAGGTGGAAAGGTTCACAGTCGCCCAAGAGCTTCCATTACTCTTAATGAGAAGTGCAGGAAACATTTGAAGCTGGCTTTGTCTGTTAAGACGGTAGGAGGGAGCGATGTCCTGGTGGAAACCCTTAGGTGCCTAACAGGGGTTTATGTCGAAAACCAAAAAAGTCTTTACCGGTGCTGATCCCCATGGAGTGAAATCTTGATGCACTCGCGAGGATTGATTTCCATGCCCTAGTTTGACCTGTGTAGATCCAGCATCTTGGCACAAATCGTGTTCCAGTGCTAAAGTAAAATAATTGTTTGAACTGTAATGGTGGTGTCAAACTGACCTGCAGCTTTTCATCTCCTCCCTCTTACCAAGTACCAGCAGCATCTGTAATGAAGTCACTCACACTAAGGTAGCTACTAAAACCTGGTCAGGTGTCTCTTCAGAGATCAGCTTGAGGTTGAGAAGAGTCCTTTCAGTCTGCTGCTCAGCAAGCAATGCACAGGATGTGCCAGGTTGCAAACCACTTCTCCTTTCCGAGGTTCATACATTTCAGATGCCTACAGAAACCTCACTTTGCACACCTGGTGTAGCTCGGTGGTTGTTAACGGCTGTCTCAAAGACGCAGGGATGCAAGGCTTTGCTTGTTTTAAGGCATGTTGTCCCATCACTGTGAAATCCTTCCCCTTCAAAAGCTATGTTCCATCATCACACAAGACCTGTATGGTGGGTCCTAAACACTTTATTCTGACCACAGATTTGAATAAGTGGTTTTCAGCCTAAAGGTGAAACTGACCCTCCTTTCCTACAGGTTCCCCGTAACACAAATTTCCCTCGAGTATGTGCCCATGGCAGCGACTGCATGAGCAAGGAATATATTGGCGCAAGGGGACCTCTGACCCCACAGAGCCCTGGCCATGCCAGGCATCTCTGGCCTTGCATGAAACCTCCTGTGGCCCTGTTCTGTGCTAAGAGCTGGGTTGTCTGGTCTTTTCCCAAGACACAGTCACACCAAAGACAGAGAAGGTGATGTTGATAGGAGGGGAACAAAATATCAGTGTCTTTTGCAGACGTGCATCTACTGAAGAGACGCATGGTACACGTAGGTGGTTGCTGTTGGATGCCGGTGTGCTGAACTGGCATCTCAGGTATCTCCTGCTTGTGCATCTCCTGCTTGTGTATTTATCGTTACTCCAGCATCTCTCGTGCTGGAGTCACGACAAACTCATTCCACGTGGGGCTGGATCTTGCATTTGAACTGTAAAGCCATCTATGCTGTCATCCCCCTGTGACAGAAAATGGAGATCCTGTTGGTTCAACACAATACTGTTATTCTTAACTAGCAGTATTTTCTTGAGTAGGAATGTGAAGGGAGGTTTTAAATTAATCATTTTAGTTACTCTTTAATGCTGGGTTTTAAAAGTTCACATGGAAGCATTATGATGGATATAACATACTTTTTTCTTGCCCCAAGATCTTTCAAATCTGGCTGATAAATTTGAGAATGAGCTCAGTTTGTCAAACAGTCCTCCTCTTGTCAAGCCAGTTTATTCCAAAGCTGGTCTCCAGTGTGTGTCTGAACTCCAAGAATGCCTCTACCCAGGTAAGACATTTATACTGGATGTTTTTGTGAATTTAAGATCGTAGGAAGATAATGTGATGTAAGATTTTAGGCACACAGCTGTTAAGGTATTTACAAGATGAAAAAGCTCCAAGAATGTTGATTTCCCTCATTTTTCAGGTGTTTTGATCTCTTCTCCCATGTTTGCCACTAAGCATGATCTCTAATTGCTGAGAATATACCTAGTGTCCTCGGGGTTTGAGCGCTGCCTGCTCCCTGTTATGCTCAAAATTAGTTTTCTGGACAGAGAGAGAATAACTTATTTCTAGCATAAATGAAATCTAAGTAGTCTAATCAGAGATTTATTATTGGTTAAGATCTAATTATTACAGATAGAAAATAAAAAAGACAATAAATAAATACCACTGTGAAAAAAGGTAATAATTATGATAATTATAATAATAATAGTTACCTGCATGGTTCCTAGTATCTACCCCTGTTCCTGGCGTTACAATCAGCCTTCCACCGCCACACAGGATCCTCCTGTTGGTGGCCTCAGGCTGCTGGGGGTTGTTTGGGCGAGTTGACAGCATCACAGGTTCTTTCCTCAGGAGTATGTAGTTGATGTGGGTGGTTTCCTGTTCCTACTGCAGGATGCGCTTGGGGTCACTCGCTGTAGGTTTGCAAACACACTTTTACACCTTAGCCTTTCTTCACTGGTCTGCAGGTTCACTGCTCCGTCGGAGTTTAGTAAACACGGCGTGTTTCACAGAAATGAGGTACTTGTTCTCTGCAAAACCATCTTAAAACAAGTTTTGTCCAGCTCTGGAGCTGCATTCCTTTATCTGACCACCTGAGAGTTGTTTCTGGCCTTGGGATCTCCTGTGCTCTGTCTCTCGCCACCCCACACCTGAGTTCAGCCCTGTGTCCTGTATCCCACATCTCAAGACCCCTGCTGTCCTACCAGGCCTGTATTTCTGCACTCTGCATCATCGTGTTATAGGCAGAAAGATATTGTCTGGTGCAGAAGACCTGCTTGTTGCTACTGTCTGTATAAACTGATGGTTGTTATCCACACCCACCTGGTTATTAGAAAAATTGCTATTACAAGTAAACCAAGTGAAAACAAAGCTCCAAGCAGGTCAACAAAATTTCAAACAAAGCAACAGATAAGCCCCTATGAGGACTTCAGGAGCTGATGCTGATATTGAATGGGATGTTTTAGATAAAACAATTAAAAAAAAAAAAAGATTTGTGTTGTTGAGAGCTGCTTGGGGTCCTTTGGGATGTATGGAATACCCGACCCCATTGCTTCTCAACTCAGTAGAGAAGTGGAAATAAGTGACATGTACCTAAAACAATATGTGGCCAGAATACTGTGTCTTGTGAAATCTCTCCAAAAGGAAGCTCAGCTGGCACAAACTCTTCCCCTGTGTATGGAAAATCACGCTACCAGGAATCAGTGTTTACAAAGGAGACAGAGGAGTCCTGTAAAAAATAATAATAAAACTTTATTTGAATAAAGGGAGAGTCCACAGGACATATTCCTGGGGGGGTCTCTCAACCTACAGAGGGATGCAGCC